TCATATGTGCTATAAGTCAAAAAGGTCTGAGTTTGAACATCAGCACTGCCCACCAGCCTGAGCCAACAATTCTTTGCATTCACTCTAACAGTATTAATTAATTAATCATGTACTGTGTAGATATAGATGAAAGATGGTGAATGAAACAGACTGCCTTAAACAAATGAGGTCTCTCCTGTCATTTCATTGGTGTAGCAGTCAGCTTTCCCTCAGTGGGACACAATACCCGACACCTGCAGTTTAGGAGAGGAGAGGTTTAATTTGGCTCATAGCTTTAGGGGGTTCAGTTCATGGTGGGCTGGCTCCCATGCAGAACCATCATGGTAAGTGGGCTATAACTGCTGCATGTAACTATTTTCAGCTGAAATCTGGAGTCAACAAGGAGGCTCTTAACAAGGATTCGCAGTTCCCGTAGCTGAGAGAAAACAGGGACATGGCTGAGCACTCAGTAGCTCCTAAAGCTCCAACTCCCATTCGAGTCACTCCGGCTGTGAGTACAGATGTGGAGGGAGAAGCGGATAATGGGACACACACACACGCATTCACACCCACACACACTCTGCCACACCCTCCTCCCCAGACCAGCGCGCTCAAGGAGCTCAGTCGTGCTGGCTGGCTCAGACTTTTCCAGTCACCTTCACCCAAATCACAGTCTTAAAATGAGGGACCCTTTTGCCCCCAAAGCAAAACGTGCTTTCTGAAAGCTGATGTTACTGGATGACAAAGAAAGTACCTAAGCCTGTGTGATCGAGTAATCACAATGTAAATCTAATTTTAAAATCTACAAAGATTCTAAAATAAAATCCTTGAATATCAATACTATTTATGTTGTGGGCTAAGTTTAAATGGAGGATATTTATTTTGCTCTAAATTCATTTCTAAAATTCACAGATCATGCCTTGCAAGCGCAAGGACCCGAGTTCAATTACCGGTACCAAAAAAAATAAATAAATAAATAAAATTCACAGCTCAAGTAAAAATGTACAAAACAATTTCCTGAATAAGTATGGGATAAAACTTGAGGCGGTGAGTGGAAGCCCTTTCCTGAGATGTACGTTGTCTGTGTTAAACATCCATCCATTTGTGTGCAGTGTACACCATGTCCTCTCCTGAAGTTAAGCCAAGGGAGATTTCATTCTAAACTACAGCACACACAAAAAAGTCGCACAAATCTGATTTTAATTATAGCCATCAAACCCAAAACAGAATTGCACAGATGTGATCAGTATTCTAAATAGGGAACGACTTTTTCCAAAGCTGTAGCCTGGAAGGGAATCCAAGTAAAAATTGAATTCTTATGTCTGTTCATGCACATTAGAGCCTTACTTTGTCCAAATTGTTCTGGGTTTCCACACCGGATGTCAGCGGATTTTCCTTGGCTACTGAAAGCCAAGTTCTTGGCCTGACTTCAAAGCTTATGGAAGTCGCTAGAAGCCCCATTTATTTTGCTTACTGAAACAGTTGTGTTTTGGAGAATGGACTTGTGGCCTAAAATTTATGAGTTGACACCTCTCAGCATTTGGAAAGAATCAGCAAGGGGATCGCTGGCATTCAAATATAAGGTTGATTTACAAAGTTGTTGTCATACAATCTGGTCATTTTATGATAAGTTTAATTTTCCCTCCAGGGCCCTTGTGAAAAAAAAAAATTTGCTGCTATAGAGCCAGATAGCTGTGAAGCCAGGATCAGTACATCAAAATCTGCTCATTACCTGCTTAAGAGCCACCTCCCATTCTTCCACCTTTCTTCTTTGGATTAATGGCAGGGTTGCTAACTATTTTCTCCAAAGTGTGTGATCATGATTGGTCTAAACGAGTAATCACATTTTCTTCACCAATAATTAATCTAAGAATTAAGATGCACCTGGCTATGACCAATGAAATGTCTATAACCTGAAGCAGAAAATTAAAATCCAGAAGTTCTTTTGGACCGAATCTTTTGCTGCTGTCTTCCGTCTGTCCCAGGATATGAGTTGAGGATGTGATGCCTGGAACTATAATGGCTATTTTATGACCATGAGGTAATAAGTAAAAAGATGATGCTAAGGATGGCAGAGCCAAAATAGAAAGATCCAAAGGTCTCAGAGACATGTTAAAGCCACTGGGAAAAATCCCCAGAAGTCCTGCTTTCAACATCTTGTTCTGTGTCCTTGCTGGGTGATGCGCTATTGGATATTCAGTTGTTGGCAGGGAACACCATCCTCCTTGAAATGGCTACTTCTCTGGGTTCTGGCTTTGGCCAAATCATTCAACCATTCACATTCTTTGTTTGTGAAATGGAGCTAATGTTATCTTTCCTGAGCTGTTTTTGTAACTATTTCCTGAGGTCATATGTAAATTACCCTGTACAGTGCCAGACAGGGTAAGAGGCGGTGAGTACAATAACCGTGTAACCAGTGGATAGATGTGTGTTGGGTGATTCCAGATCATTTGTGCTTGTGGAGTAAATAGTCTAATATTACCACAAATCACAGCCACTGGTTTTATTGTATATTATGTGCCCGGCACTATACTCAGAACCTGTGGGCATTGCCTGATTTAATCTCAGAACACCTTTCTGATGTATATACAAAAGCATGGGACAGTTGCACACTAACTTGTATTTATTCCCCCTTGGGGTTAAAGATGAGATTGAGGCCCAGGTTCCAGAGCATGTGTGCAGTGGGGCCTCAGCTTGGTTTTGGCCCAAGGGTACTTGTGGCAGATGCTCAGTCCCCCGAAAGGCAATTGAATTAAACCAGGCCAAGACATGGAAATCCACAGTGACCACCAATCCTAGTCTCTTACTTGGCCCTGATCTGATCCTGGCTTTCCAAAGCCAGGCTCAGGTCAACTCACAGCCCAGCTGGTGAAGTTTATTCGAAAACATAGTTGTTTAGCTAAGTCACTGTTTTTGTTCACTTACGGGCTTTAGATGGGACAACTTCACTGTAGTTCATGGTTTTTCTCACTATGCGGTCAGCCCATGCTGCTGTCCCCTGCTTCGCCTCCTAAGGACTTCTGAGTCTATCACTGCCTAGTTTAGATCTCTGATGACAAAGGGAAAATACTGGAAATCATGGCAATCCCATGAGAAATGGAAGACAAGGATACAGCTGTGATTGCTGGACAAATTCTGGGATGTTCTGCATCTTGGCTTGTGGCTGGGTACCTGTCTGTGTCAGTTAGCAATGTGGAGATTAAGAGTCCTTCTCTATTTGAGAAATTTGGGTCGTTTGGAAATCACTGCTATACTCTGTCTGAAGGAAAGCAAAATGGTATGTTCGCAGCATTCTGTATTTTTGGACACCCCTGAATCCCCTTCCCCAACCCCTGACACTGAGAACAAGGGCTCTGAGTGAGCCGGAGTCTGGCAGCAGCAGGGACGAACACCAAGATACCTTGGGCACCTTCTTGGAGGGAGGAAATGGAAAACCTACGTGTAAGAGGCCAGAGGGAAAATACTCTAGGCTTGTAGGCCATTTTTGTCTCCATTCCATACTTCTCATCTTTAAAAGTAAAATTTACAACCCTTTAGAAATATAAAAATCATTTTTAGCTCAGGGGCCATACCAAACAGGCATGGGGCGGGGTGTAGGAGCAGCTTATCCACCCTGCCTGGAGAATCAAAGGACATGATAAGCTCTCTCCTAGCCCATAACCACTGGGAGGACCAATGCAAATGAAGAAACTGTGCTAGCAGTGACTAGGGCCACACAAATGGCAGGGGCAATGCCAGGGAGCAGTCGCTGGAGTCAGACAGTGGGCAAAAGGAGCCTTCGTCCAAGCCCCAGGTGCTGGCCAGCCTTTTGTCTCCAGCAGGCGTTGAGCTCCCAAGTACCTTGCGGGGACCATAGCCATCATGCCACAGAGCCTTGCTGTGCAGTTCGCTCTTCTTCTCAAAGTGAGAAAGTCAGCTAAGTAGCAATGGCAAATTACCGGTGAGTTTAGAAAGAAGTGAATGAGCAAGTCAAGAGCAGCAAATCCAGTGGGAATCGCAGGCCCCTTTCGGCAGAGAGGACAGTTTCTCCGTGGTTGCAAGGGGCCTGGGATGGGGAAAGCAAAGGGCCACGGTCATCATCTCTAAGGCTGGACTCAAGACAGTGTCTACCCGTGATTTCTACACATGCGAGGTACAATTTGCCTGAATTGGGCTACTAGAATGGAAGGGCAGTTCCCAAAAGGGACCTCTCCCTCTCTCCTCTCTGCCTTCATGGAGAAGGAGTCTGCCGTTTCCATGTCAGTCCGTCTGTCCCTTGTTCAGAAGTTGGCCACTTGGCGCCCATCATCCAATATGAGTGTTGCTACCGAAACATACGCCTGGATCAAAGTGATCGTAAGAGTCCATCTTGCATGTGCAGCCAGGACTCCCTTTGTAAAACATGATCTGGGGCATGGATTTGGGGTTGGGTTTTTGTTTTTGTTTTTTCATTTTTTTAATACCTGGCAAAACAATCCAGGTGGTGTGTGAGTCACCAGTAGAGACTGTGAAGTCTGAGGAAGTAGAGTCAACCTTGCAAACAGTGGATCTCAGTGAAGACAGAGATTCTCTGCCCGAACCCGCTGAAGTAAAACGCAAAAGAGAAGAAGGCAAGCCCCGGAGGAGCTCCCTGATGACGTTTTTCAGACAAGTGGTAAGCCGCTTTCTTCTGGTACGGGAAGGGGAAACACCTGGCATTGTTTCTGAGCGCAGAAGACCCTGCCACTGGGGGAATGAGGTGCAATTTTAGGTGCTATACATAGAATATGAACAGGATAGGAATTGTGAACTGAGAAAATGCCTTCCCGCCTTGTGATTCAGTCACAGAGAAAGTCTCAGCAGATTACTCATATTCTCGAACTCTTCTTTCACCTTGGATAAATCCCCTTTTTAATAAAAGAGACAGTTGACCTTGGGTCAGGGTAGTAGTTAATATAAGTGTTTGCTTTTGCTTATTTTAAATGTTTCCTTCTGTCGGTGGCAAAGGATGCCGCTTTCCCCAATATGAGAGTGACGAGATGTTTCCTTTGAAAATACTTGTTGTTTACATCAAGAACGTAAGCGCTTTTATGGCCCAAGTCATAGACTGAGGTGACAGAAATTCTGAAGGTGACGTGAAAGTCATGCATAAGGAGACAAAGCTGACGTAGATCATCGTCAAGTAATAGTCTCATAGTGAAGATATACAACATAGTGAATTGTCCGTGCTTGGATTTGTATGGAATGGAAAGATTGCACACAGACGTGTTTTGATGCTTACAAACAGTAATGTGCATTAAAGATCTATGTAACCCAAGATCTCAGATAGCGTAGCACAACAAAACCTAAATTAATTAGAGGACAAAATATAAAAACCCATGTAAAAGGTCATCGATTTAATTCTCTTTTAATGAAAAACAAGGATTTCATTATAGCGTGCCTTTATTTTTAGGGGTATTTGGGGATTTAATCCTTGGAGAAAGCAATTTTGGAATTTCACAAGTCAGCCTGTTAAAGAGTTCTTTCTAATCCATAAAACAAAATAAAACCCTTGCCAGTAGGAGTTGAGACATATTAAAAAATAATTCGTTCAGAAATTGTTGGCAGGAATGATTTTCTTTTCCTGTTGGACTCTCGTGGAGTAAAAGGTGTTTAAAAAAAAAAAAAGTAGCGGGAGGACTGAAGGGCTGAGGCCTCATCAGTATCACTGCTATGCCTGTGCGATCTGGCACCTTCTAGACCAAATTTTCAGTGATGCCGGGAAAGAAAAGAACATTGAGCTGTTCCTGGCACCTGGTCTCAGTGACAAACGGCATCCCTGGTGTGCTGAGCATCATACTTTCCTCTGTTTGCGTAGAGCTGAGGAATACTGGGGAGGGTTACAAACGGAACGTTTCTTCGAATAGCCCATATGCAACTCCCTTTGCTTAAAAGAGGGTAAAGTCCAAGAAACCCCAAGTAAAATATGCAAAAACCTCTAAACCACTCATTGCCCCCACAAATTCTGAAACTTATATCAGGTTCTATATCACTTAAATGTATCCCCCCAACTGTCTACTACACATTACTTTCTAGCAACAGAAACTGAGCAAGTCTGAATGCTTGAGGTTTTTTTAAAAATGGACAAAAAGTCCTCTGGCTGGGGATGGTGGCTCACAACTGTAATCCCAGCAAGCGGGAGGCTGTAATTGGGAAGCTGAGGCAGGAGGATCCTTGTGAGTTCAATGCCAGCCTGAACTACATAGTGAGACCCTGTCTCAAAACAAACAAACAAACAAAAAGTCTTCTGGAATCAACTCATGATAGGTTAGGATAAAGGAAGGTGAGTTCCTTCTGCCCAAGTAATCCTCAGTGGGTTCAGGGCAGAAAGTCTTACTATGTCCGTAGCTCTTCTCACCTGCTGCCTCGAGAGCATGACCATTATTCTTTCTCTTGGATGTTTAAACACTGCTCCAAAGCACCTGTGATTGTTGAGATTTCCTCTAAAATTCCAGATATCCTAAATATTGTCTATTTTCTGTGTTCCTTAAAATATTATACTACCATAGTGATGAATTCACATATGCCAAAGGCGGGGGTCTTCCAGTGTCCCAACTTCCCCACGAGTCCCTCAGCCACGCCAGCCCAGCTCGCTGGTGTGTGTTTCTGGCCATCCCTTGGGTGCCTCAGTTTACTGCCTGTGATGCAGAACCATGTTATTCTGTGCTCACTTCCTTCACGTGTCCTCCGGATCCATTCCATGCTGACTGATCGTGGCTATCGGTGGACGTTCGTTTTCTTTTGGTTTTTTGTTTTGTTTTGTTTTGGTTTTGCATTTCATTCCTTCATTTGCACAACAAAGAATTATTAAGCGGCCACGATATTCGAGGCTTTAGGGATAGGACGGTGGTGTAAACAGGTACAATCTCTGTCCTCAGGGTGATAAATCCTAATGAAGAAACCCTGCACTTCTAGTTTAACTCTGTCTTGCATTCAGTGAGCGTGCCCCGAGCAGCCTACATGAGTTATCTTAGTCATCTGCATGCAGAGCCTTGGAAGCCCGGTCGTATGCACAGGTATTAACCCCCCTTTGGGTAGGTTCCTAGAAGTTGGTGTCAGCAGCTAACTATTTTCAGGAAATGCTTTTGGGTAACATGTTCATTGCTTACAAATTGATTTAGTCTTTGGATCTTTGCATGGGGAAGTCTACTGTAGGGTCTGAAAAATAGAGACAGCATCTGGCCTACCACTAAGGGTTTTGGGGGAGAGGGCATTGGGGCCAAATAAGTGGGTGTTTGGAACTAATTTTAGGTATGGTTAGCAAAATATGCATTTTTAAAAACTATTGATTTAATTGAAAGGAAAACTCAACTGCAAAACCTCTTTCATATTCAGTTTTCCACTCATTAGATCATTGATTTTCCAGCCTTTCTTCAGGTTTTTGTTTTGTTTTGTTTTTTCAGAAAACACATTTTAGCATCTCATGAAAAGATACTCGGAGTTGAGGTTTTGTTTTTTGGGGGATTTTTTTTCCCAAAAATAAATGATTCATTTCTCAAAAGATCATTTTCTTTCCAGACCTTAATTACCAAAAATAAAAAATAAAAATGTGTTTTTCCAAATAGTCATATTTCAGGCCAAAGAAAACAGAACCATAGTAAGGCCTAGCGTTGCATTTAACACAGGTGGATATAGCACTTCGCAAAAATTCTACAAGTTCCTACAGGATTGCAAAATAATTGCAAAGAACGTCTACAACATCTGTCATGCCCTAAATAGAACACCATTCTCACACATATTAATTCAGCTATATGTCAAGAAATTGAGTATTTGAAGTGCTAGTGTATTTTTGTAAAGTGAATGGACCAGGTTACTGTATTCATGGACCCACAGACCAGGTGGACAGGGAAATCACGAAGGTACGTAGGGAGAAATACATGCACTTCAAATTTATAATTTGTCAGTGTAACCATACCTTGCACTTGAAAAGTGCGTTCCTCCTCCAAGCTATTTTTCACATTTCTATTTTGTTTAATCCTCTGCAGCCCTCTCTTTGGACTACTAGCTTTACAAGAAAAACTCGGTGGGGTAACATTCTTGGGTTGCAGTGAAAGATCATGAGCTTCACTTGGGACCAATAAGAGGCCCAGATGAGGAGACAGTAAGAAATCAGACAGGTTGTTGTTGACTTCAGTGAATCAAATAAGTTTAATAAAAACCTGTGAAGTGTACTGTCTGGAAGGGAAAAGAGGTTTATTTGGAATGGTCGTGATTAAACAAAAAACAGGAGTCTTCTAGCCAAAGTTCTTGATCTCAGATTTTTCTCTGGGTATGAAAATATTAATACTGATTTGTTCTGTCAGGTTTCTGAAAGAGGCATTTATTTGGATTTCTGAAAGAGACGTTTATTTGGGCAATTCCTGCCTCTCCCAACACCTCACATTCTCTCCTACCTTCCCAGGGACTCTGTCGTCATTGGCACTGCTGGCAGTCACCTCCCTGGCCACCGGGGGTGCTCTGGGTCCTTGTGTCATGGCGGGCCTCGTGCTCAGCATGGCATCTTCTCACCCATTCAGGCAGAAACCCCACAAAACCTGCACCCTCACTGCCCACCTCCCTGTGCAGACCAGGCTTTGGAGACTCGCGAGGGTTTAAGTAATGTGCCCAGCGCCTCGGGGCTGACGAATGCGAGCCAGAACGCAGGCAGGCATGCATTTTGTTGCCACTTTTTGTTCCTTCAGCTCCTTTCCTCACGTTATGGCTGCTTCCTGCACTGCTGTAGCTTGGGTTCTTTGACAGTACTTGGAGGCAGGACAACTACACGTCCCACTTTTGGGATTCGCTAACATTTTCTGTGGAAACATCGTTTTTAGGTGTTGGACTATTCCTCTTAATCTAAAATTGCAAGGCAGAAACGGGAAGATTAATACAGGGCTTACATAAAACATGGGCACAGGTTTCCGGAATATATTTGTCCTTAAAGGAAATCTACCTTGGCTGGGTAATTTGCCTTATTACTCCAGTCCCATTTGTTGTGAACGTTTTGGCAAAGTCAAAACCTTGGACTCTCAACCTTTATGGACCCTGGAAATTTGCAATAGGTCCAGTCCCCTGGAGTTGTGCATCTGCTAAACAACATTGCTGATAGTCTCATGCTGTATTAAAATCTCATCCCAACTTTTCTTCTGTTTTGTTTGAATCAGATTGTCATCTAAATACATTTGAATACCTTTCAAAGGAGTGTGAACTGATCACCAAATATTTCTGCTGGCATTTTTAATATCTAAGTCATAAATACTGGAAACAGTCAGATGTTCCTCAGTGTTATTGAGCTATTATAATGCATGGCACAGTGCAATAAATAAATGACTCCTTTAATATGCAAGGCTTGGAAGCTACCGGTGGGATCCATCACAAAACCACAGGCTAAACACCCTGAGATGCTTCGTTTTGATTCTCGGGTGTAAAACAACCCTGGAAGATAGTTGCTCAGTGTCCCACTGGAAAAATCTCAGAAATTACTTGATCATCTTCAGACTGTTCTTCAAAGTACCGATTAGTCTCTGAAAGAATTTTAGTCTCCTTAAACAGTAGCTTTGCTGTTTTTGACAGCTAGTAAAAATAAGCCTTTGTGGTTATGATGCTTTGAATAATAAAACCAAGCGGAGTCTCCTGAGTTTCTCAGCAAGAGGACTCTGCGCACAGTAAAGAAAAGATTAAAGAAGGAGGAAAGCAAGGGAGGGAGGGTAGGAAAGATTGTGATTAATGAAAGCAGCATTGGTAGAGATGGTCTCGGGGGCATCATAAGACCCTTCGTTGAAACTCAGCAGTCCACACATCTTTCTTGCCTCTCAGTGAACACGATAGAAAAATCACTGAAACACTGGTGGTCCTCTCTTCTATTTTAATCGAACAAGTTGAACTGTGCAGTGTTCTTCCTGACAGCCTGAAGGTCTGTTTTCATGCTGCCAATATAGCATAATTTAAATTCAACCCAAATTATCTTCCAGGCGCTACCAAAGAAGAGAAGAGAAAGAAAGCAAATTAGAACCTTAAGCTGGCCAAGTACCTAATGTCCCAGCTGGAACAGTGAAAAAGAAGTACAAAATCCCTCCTCCAAGAGGGCACAGAAGAAAGTCCTATATTTGCTAGAAGTGGGGGGAGGGCCACACATGACTCGGTGTTCATTCAGGTTTTGCTTGAAAAGCTATTTTGTTCACTTGTGTTTTAAGTCTTTGCCAGTCAAGATTCCCTATAGCCCACCTCATGCCGCCCGCAGCCATGTTCTCTAGAACTCTCAGGAATGTGTTTGAGTAGGAAGGGCTCTTAAGGCACAGCGGAATGAAATCCTAAGGAGTCACAAGCTTTGCGTGTGGGGGGAAGGCTGACAGAGCTCTGACCTAGGGAGTCCATTTCTCTTTCTAAACTTTCTGAAGCCCAAGAGGAAAGAAAAACCACTTTCCATGCTGATGGTCTACATTTTATGTAGAAGACAGGTGGATCCTTATCTGCCTTTGGGGTGAAAACCTAGGTGACTCCCACAGCAAGGCTGTCTCTACAAAAGGGACTTGGAAAGGGCAGATATGCTTCTTCCGGTCCTAACCAATCAAGAACACCTAGGATCAAGGTCTGTGGATGCTGCTTTGGGTAGAGAAATACAGGAGTCCCCTGTGCTGGTGGACCATTGATGGTCCCAGTAAAGACTTCCGGTGTGGAGAGCAGCACCAAGCAATACTTAGAGAGGAAAACTGCTGACCTTGAGAATGAGCAGGTCCCACGAGCCATCTTAGCCAAGGTTTATCAACCTCCACCTTAGCCAGGCTTTCCCCATTGTGCTGAATCTAACGTCATCGCTTCCTAGCAGATGCTCAATTACCATTCGCTGCCTGAGCTGCACCGCTACCTCCTCAGGGGCAGTGAGATGGCACGTAGATCAGATGTGAGCAGAGCACAGCGGCGAACCCTGGCTCTCCCTGTAAACTGTTGTCCCCCGACCCACACAGGACCCTCTGAGCTTCTGTCTTTTTCCTGTAAAATCAGGAAAACAATTCATCTGCTATCTCGGTTTTGATGTGGTGCTGGTCAGTCTCTCACTGGCGCAGTGCATGGCACTTCGGGAGTACTCTGCTAATGGTTCACCTCCTTTATATAGCACCTGTAATCCCCTCTACTAAGGTGAGTGCCGTATCTCAGATAACCGAGATTCAATGCTGTGGACTCGCATGCCCAGCTAAGAGAATGACCAAGGTGACAGCGGTACATCTGGCAGGAAGTGTCAAGCAGTGGCTGAATGCTCAGGGGATTAGACCTAAGTTGGCATCACTGATGAGAACTAAGTGATTCACTGTCAGATTTATTGTATATCAAGAACAGGGCATTGCTAAATGCATGGTCAAAATCCCAAGATGGGTCTGAATGTGTGTCTGCTAATTAACTTAGAGCAGGGATGTTCAAAGACTAGCGTTTCTCTGAACCACACACGAGGCTTGTTAAAACACAGATTGTTAATGGATACAGTGGGGCCACACACCTGTAATTCCAGCACCCTGGGAGGCCGAGGCAGGAGGATGTGCAGTTTGAGCCAAGCCTGGGCAATTTAGTGACTTAGAACCAATTAAAATTTTAAAAAAATAAAAGGGCTGGGGATGTGCCCTGGATTTAATCTTCAGTACTAACAACAACAACAACAACCAAAACATTGCTACATCCCAACCCGAGTTTCTGAGCCAGTGAACCCAGGGGACTGTCAAAATTTGCTTTTCTAACAAGTCCCGGGGTGAGGCTGGTGCTGATAGTTTTAGAATCATTAGCTCAGTGTGGGATTCAAAGAATCAAAGCTGAGAATTCCACTCCATCCAGCCCTGTCGCGGATGCCCCTGGCTAGGGGAGACAGTAAAGGATGGAAAACAGAAAGCTCACCGAAACACACATCCCTGCTAGGGAGAGAGCAACGGAACACCCGCCACCCCCACGGCGCCCTGAACGCTGACTGACACTTCCGTTGGGTGGCAGGTTATTCTCTGTGCTCAGCCCCTCCTGCTTTCCGCATTCACATCTGCCCCAGCATGTACTCCGGGAACGTCTGACCCCGCGCTTAGGACGTTTGTTGTTTGTTTTGGAGGCTAACACTGAATTTCATCGGATTTGGTTGCACTTTGGGGAACCCACGAGTGTCAGGAGTGCGGTCGTGCGCTTCTGGGTGCTCCGCCTTGGTCTCGAGCCGGAATCTCAAGAGTGAGTGACCGGGCTCGTCCAAGGCGGGACGTCCCTGCGTCCTGTGACTTCGCTGTGCTGTGGTAGCTGAAAAGCCATCATCTGTTTGTTGTTCTAGTCAGTGAAAGGGGACGGAGGGATCGCACACTCCGAAGAAATAATGGGGAAAGACTCCAACAACCAAGTAAGTGACCTTGAACCCGTCTGGTGGTGGGTTTGGCTGGCGCGGTCTCACTTCTCCCTGGTCTCATTTTCCTCTTTTTTTCCTCTTTTTTGTTTTTTTGAGTCAGGGTCTCACTGTGTAGTTGAGACTGACCTGGAACTCACTATGTAGCCCAGGCTGGTCTCGAACTCACAGCGGTCCTCCTGCCTCGGCCTCCCGAGTACTGGGATGACAGGTGTGCGCCACCACGCCCGGCCTGGTCTCATTTTCAATTCCGTTCTCGGCCACTGCCGATTGGTGTAACCGCTCCGGATTAAGCGCCCGCTGTAAAGCGGGCCCGTACCGAACACCCGCCTGAACAAGTTAGTTGATGCCCTTCACACACGCTCCTCCCTCTTCTCCGTGTGCAGGCTCCCTTCTCTCCGTCCTGAAAGAGACCTTCCATACCCACCGGTCATCACTACGTCTTGTTTTTACTTTCGCTTCCTGGCACTTACCATAAATAGTAATGACTCATTGTCCGCTAGCTGCCTGTCTCGCCTGCCCCTTCTGACCCTGGCTGGAAGGTTTTCCTGCGTGTGGTGCCTGCTGCATCACGGGAGATATTTCTAGAATAGATAAGTGAAGGACACAGAGGCCACAGAATTCATTTTCACAACTTCTCTACTCTAAAGATACGAGGCTATGGCAGCTTTATAACTGTATGCTTTCCTTTTCAATGGGATCTGCACAACACCTTATTTTATAATGTGCACTCTTTAAACTTAAATATATACGTTTACCAAAAGAAGGTCACTGATTGTTCTTCTTTTAATGTCAGCAACGTAGAGAAGTTCTTCGGACTCAAGCAGCCAGGGTCCCAATCCTGACTTGGCCATTTTTTTAGGTTTGTGACTTCAGGCAAATCACTAGCTCTCCCGGGGCCTCGGGGCCTCATCTATAGGATGGAGCAAGGAAACGTGCACCTCACAGGATGTCACACGCAGGTGAATCAGTGTCGTGCATGAGAACAGTCGCGGTGCAGAGGGCCCAGTAAATAAGTTAGTTGCTGTATTAGTCAGCCCGGGCTGCTATAACAAAATGCCGTGGCCGTGTGGCTTCAGCAACTGAAACGTATTGTTCTGAAAGCTGGACAGGCTGTGATCACTGTGCCAACAGGGTTCTGCCCCTGGTGAGGGGACGGAGCTCTTCCTGGCTTGCAGATGGCTGCCTACTGCTCTGCCTTCACACGATGAAGGGAAAGAGGGAGGGAGGGTGAGCACGCTGATGTCTCTTCTTACAATGACACTGATTTAATCCTTTTGGATCAGAGTCCATGCTCATGACCTCATTTAATTTAAATTCCTCCTTTATTCCAAACACAATCACTTTGGGAGTTAGGGCTTCAACCTACACAATTAAGGCCATCACGGTTGCTCTTGGTTACCACTTGCTGCTGTGAGGGCATTACCATCCTGTGATGTTTCTCATCACACATGCATACACACACACATACACGTGCATGCACACGCACACACCCCACGCACACATGCAATGACTCTTCCAACACTTTATAGTATTTCTGTTTCCATACCAATCCATTTAGTCTGCATATATATGATTTTTCCTGTTTTCAATTTTTTGCTTTTCTAACTTACACCTTGTGCCTGGCCCCCAAACCTATTCTCTAGACCACTGTGGAAGCAAACTTTCCAGGGCTGGAGTGGAGCTCAGCAGTAGAGCATCCTAGATGAAACAGTATGCCCATAATTGAGGTATTTGTAAAACTGGAATAAAGCCTGAAAACCTGAAGGAGCTAGAAACCTCATTCTCCTCTCACCTGGAGATGCCGTGAGAGCCCCTGGGTGAGCTCTGCCTCCCTCCTTGAGAGACTGATGTCCTCACTGGAACAGGACAGATGCTAAGCTGGATTTGGGTACTGGTGGTGGACACCTTGTGCTTCTTCACGGTTTGCCCTCTTAGAGTTAGAAAAGGCTTAGCTGGTATTTCTAGGACAGGGAGCTCGAGGCGCCGCTGGCCTCAGGTGGCCTCTAGGGTCTCCATCAAACAGAAAGTGCCCATGGCCTCAGCCCTGAGACTTCCGGCCAGCACTGTGGGGGTCCAGGAGTTTCTGGGAGCAGCTGCTGCGATGACTTGGGGGTGTGATGTCTGTTATAAGTCTGGGACATAGTCAGACCCCGAGCGAGTGTCCCGGATCATCTGCGTCTGGTGACAAAGCAGTCCTGCAAGGAGGCAGCCACCTCTGGCCGTCATGACTTGGTTTCTAACAAGCAGGTAAAAGCCTGACAGGGCGAGGACTCCGTGGGGGTGGGACACCGTCCTGCACAGCTCCGAGGAGAGCTGTTGGCTCTTTGTGCCTCCCCACTCCCGCCCCACAGTGATTTGGGAAGGCAGACCCCTGGGGGATGTGGAGGGTGAGTCTGGCCATTCATTGGACACTCAACTGAGGCCTGCTTACAGCAGTGCTTCCCCGGTATCGGGGACGAGGTGCTGAGAGGACACAGACCTGTCCTCTAGGGCCCTCCCTCCATCGGGGAACCCACACTATGAAATGAGCAAAGAAAGACCTGTGATAACCACCCGGGAACAGAAAACAGAGCGGTGTTGCTGGAGAGAGGAGGCAGGGCTTCCTTAGACACAGAGCCAAGACTGCATCTCGTGGGCAGTGGTGTCTGAGCTGAGACAGAAACACAGCAGCTCTCGACCAAAGCTTGGCAGTGCTGAGAGGCTGAGGCAGGAGGATTACGACGTCGAGCCCAAGCTAGGTGACTTAGTGACTTAGCAAGACCTTGTCTCCGTTTTTCTTTAAACATGGAAACGCTTGGGGATATCGTTCAGTACAAAAGCCCTGGGTTCAATTCCCAATGCCAAAATACAGAAGCAAAAATGAAAACAAGCAAAGCCAACGAAGTCAAGAGCACACTTCTTCCTGGAAGGAGAGGAGCCTGTGTGGCTCGGTAGATGGACAGGAGGGGCAGGGACAGAGTAGCACAGGGCTCGGTCTTTCAGGACAGTGGCTTGCTGGTGTCTCACGCACACAGGGCACTGAGAAGCACACAGTGCTTGGGGGACCACTGGTGACATCAAGGGTGCTCATTAGGCCAGATGACCAGCTCCTTGGTGCCAGCCACAGAAGTGTCGCTTCTTTGCCCTAGAGTTGCCTCCCCCCAGAACAAACCAAGGCGAGAGGCTCCCCAGAGACCGGCATCTCCGGCCCGGCTTTCCATCCCATTCAGCCCTCTGCACAAAGGAGGAAGCTGGGGAAAGGGAGAATGGATCCCAGGTCTCACAGCAAGGATACAGACCAAGCTCCACTAGACTTCAACGTCTGCAGGGCTAGCGCAGTGCGGGGTGTGCAAGGGGACCGCTGGGCTCTGGCCTTCCTAGGAACTTCCTGGTGATCTGCCCCACACTGTCTGCAACACCTGCGTGCCTGTGTCTCAGTCTTGGCTGCTGGGCCCCCAGCTGTGCTCTAGCCGACCTGGGAAGATTTCTGTCCTGGGGGCTGGGGTCTCCTACAGGGCCTGGAGTCTCCTGTTTTCACTTCTTTCCAAGCCCTAAGCTGGGTTCACAGTTGCCTTCTCCGTCGCAGCTGCTCTGGGACAGCACACAGCTTCCTGAGCCCAGTGCTCTGACTGTGTAGCCCGTGGGTCAGATCGTCATGGTCCATGGGCCGATCATGCGCCAGTTGTTTGCTGGGACCAGGGCTTTAAATTTTTGAAGTCAATATTTTAAAGCTGGTGTATTTTCTTTTTTTTTTTTTTTTAATTTAATTTCGAGGGCTAACTGAAAAGACAGCAGATCTGAGGGCTCCAAGCCCCAGCTGCGGCCTGCATGGCTGCTGGCCCCTCAGACGAACAGCGCGATCTTCTGTCCACCGAGTCCTCCCTCTTGTTTGTCTCCCAGCACTAAAAACAGCACTGGGAGGGCTGCTGTTGTTCTCACACACTTTGCCTGGACCCACATGCTGGGGAAATACAATCTCTGTGTGATTATTTTCACCTCAGTCCTCCTTTTTGTTTTTACACAAGCTGTCTGATCGTGTAAGTTCAAATAGATTACGATGAAAGGCTTTCTACTTCCTAACAGATTTAATTCGATTCAGTTTGATTCGATTTTTGGATCTGTAGATCTACACCTTACCCCACACCTTCTGGAATTTTTGACTTTACACTCTCAGCCCTCTTGATTATAGGAACCAAGTAGAAGATCTCGTTCTGACACACACATTCAAAATTAAATCTAAGCCATCCATTTTTTGTTTTGCCACCAGTTTGTGAAGCAAAAGGCCAGTTTTACACCAAAAATTTTGGTAGATGCCATGAGGAAAAAAGAATGGGCATCAGCAGGAAAAAGTCCCGCGTTGTTGTAAGTGGGAGAAGCCTCTCAAAGCTGGCGGAGTCCTGTGTGGACTCCTGGAATAGAGGTACAGGGTCACGCACACCAGTACCTGCTGTCCCTCCTTGCCACTGCTTGGTTCTGCTGTCCTCTGGGCTGGCTTCCTTGGTGGGCATACTTTCCCCGAAAACGGTGCTGGTTCTGAAGCTCCAGGTTTACATTACTGCAGCTTTAAAATAAATGGGAAACGACTGTCTCTTGATTCCTTTAGTAAAGCTTTAAGGTTGGCTCCACTGTTACCTGTGTTGGTCTCTCCGGAGCCAATCATAGGCCGCGGGTGTGTGCAGTCCTGTGATTGGCCGGGCCCGACTCACAATCCCTTTACCAGAGGTAGAATTAGTTGGCTTGGAACACGTGGAATAGACAGGAGAGAAGGGTGTTTTCCTAAGAAAAATCCAACTTCTGAGACCAAAGGAAGAGGGAAAGCCTGCTTCCTGGGAAAGGGTAACATCATTTAATCAATTATTAGATAAATAAATGTCCCCTGCCATGAATGACCTAGCATTATTGCCTTTTTTCCCCCATTTCACCCAACTCATGAAAGTATAGAAACATCCAGCATTTGAATGTCTCTGCTTTAACACGTTTATTCGCCTGCTTTGAGAATTGTCTCACAGCCACTAAAAATGGGCTTTGTTTGAACTTGCCGTAGACATCAAACTCCACGGAGAAGGCGCCCGCACCGAAGGCTACCACGCCACCAGGGCCAGAGCCCACGGGAGCAGCGCAGAGGGGAAAAGAAGCCTCCGCCAAGGACAAGAAGTCAGCAGAGGTGAACAAGCAGAAAAACAAGCAGCAAGCCAAAGAGCCTGGCCAGAGTGTGGAGCAGGCCGCAGCGGAGCCCAGCGCACTGCAGAGTGGGGACAAGGCCCAGAAGAGAGCCGAGAGGCGGCGGCAGTCCCTTGGGGGCTTCCTCAAGGGCCTGGTAGGTGGACTCCCCCTCCTCATGACTTGTCCACCCCTCCAGGGCACGGCTGGCTGGACGCCCTGGGCTACAGGTATTTACTGAGCTCCTCCCGCTGGGTGGCAGGCACTGCGCTGTGCACTGAGAGGAGAGAAATAGAGCCCTTGCTGTTCGGGGGCTCACGGTCAGGTCCAGATGAATGGGTCCACCAGGTGCCAAGGACAGGGAGAGCGAGACCACGTGCAGGGCGCAGGCGGGGAGGTGCTAAGGCCCAAGTGCCTGTGCTCATTCCTGCCCCTCCTAGCCGTGTGCCCTCAGTTTCCCTGAAAGAGTAAGGAGACCGGTGACAACCGCAGTCCCCGTGTCCCCGTGGGAATGGAATGAACGTGTATAATCCGCTGTCCCGGTGGGTGGCGCGGTGTAGGCATCGGACTCTGGGTGTTCCATCCCGTGATAAGCTGTGTGGCCTTCTGTGTGCGGGCCTGAATCTGACTCTGGAAACACTGGGCCACTGGCCAACCCCGCCCTCCCTGCCCAGCCACCAGGAGACCCCTTCCCTTTGTCCCTTCTCCATACCCCCTCCGTCCTCAGCAGTCTCCCTTTCTCTTCCTCCCCAGCACCATCTGCCTCCATTTTCCAAACTCTGAATGGTTTCCCTTACTGTGGACTCCATGGTCCACGGCTCTGGGTGTTTGCAGTGCTGCGTGATGGGCCATGTGTTCAGTCCTCCTCCATGTAAACCATAAGACTTCGTGTCCCTGAGAACTGGATAGCTTAGCGGTGCCTAACTCATGGGGCTACTGAAACAGTCACATGAGATGCTTGTGTAACCCTGTGGCACAGAGCCTGAGACCTAGTGAGCAGTTGGCATGGAGAGCCATTGTCCCCCCCCACCAGCACCTCATCATCATCAGTTTTCTTCAAAGTCTTGCATATTGTAGACACTTTGGGTAAACATTTGTTGAATGAATAGGGAGTGAACATATTATTAGCTTACCCCATTTATAGTAAACCATCTTGGGAGGTCAAAAGAAATACTTTAGACAAATTAAGAGTCTATTTGAGCAAAGAACAAGCTGTGAATCGGGCAGCGCTCAGCACCAAAATAGGTTCAGAGAGTTCCACCCTGCAGTGAGCCCTGAGCTTTTATAGACCCAAGTTGGAAACAGAGCAGAGAAACCACCTGATTGGCTGCAGCATCTGAGGCATTTCCCTGATTGGGCACAGTCTGAGAGCGTGGCTACCTAGGATTGCCTGAAGCTCAGCTGTTTTCAATCGGCAGAAACCTGGCCATTTGATAAAAAGTGGTTTGTATGTGCACGAACGTAGCCTGTGGTTTGTCACCTAGGTAAGTAAGCAAGGGGACAGCCTGGGGCTGATAGCCTCCTGTACATGTACTTTAGTAAGGAAATAAGTGCTCAGTTGTGCTGGTCCCTGGACTGCAGAAGAAATGGCTGCTGGGTGCAGAATTCCCTTTCACCAGTTGCAGTTTTAGGCAGACTGGTGCAGGCAGCATTCTAGATTTGCTTGTTTCAATCTCCCTCACCATGGGAGCCCCCTGCATCCGTGGGCCGCCGGCACTACCAGCTTTGCACGGGCTCGGCTCTACCTTGCAGCTCACGGGTACACCTCAGGGTACATGCTCCTTAACGGGAGTCGACAGGTAAGATGAAAACATAATGAATATGAGGGTACGACACAAGGCTGGAGGAAGTTGCCTGCAGTTGCTGACCTTAACTGAAATGCTGCATCAAGTTTCTTTTTTGCATGTTAAAAAGACTCCACTTGTGCATCGAGACACAGGCTAAGCGTTCACTGAAGATTTGATTTACCTTTTCAGACAGTTAAAATCCCTGCCTTCCTCCATTCCTCCCCGCACTCCTCCTTTCTGTTTTCTGTACTCCCTCCCTCTCTGTATCCGCCTTCCTTCTTCAGTCTTCTCCTCTACAAACTAGCAAGCAGGCCTGTGAGTGTTGGATGTCACCGAGGGAGATTAGAGGTGAGCGTGGTTGGGGACGGGGAGGGGAGGCTGTGTGTCCAAGGAACTAATGTCCAAGGTGCACAGGAGGGAGCAACGGTGCCAAGCAGGAGGCCAGCAAGCCCTTCCAGGAGGCAGGGCAGCACCAGCAAAAGCCCTGTGGTAGAAAGGCGCTCCATGGAAAGATCTCAGTGTGTCTGAAGAAGAGCGATGAGCCACTGGGAACGAGGCAGACGATGGGAGGAATAGCAGCAGGGACAGGGACAGGGACAGGACCGGCCCAGGCAGGCTGCACAGAGAATGCCGCCGTTCGCGGGCGCTACGCTGGGCAGTGCGCACGCGTCTACAACTCTTAAAGGCTTTGCCGCCCAGACAGTGGAAGCTGTCCAGGCCCTGCTGCACACAGGAAGCGAGCATCTGGCTTGCCTGCCTTGGAGCACAAGCCAGCTCGTCCCCGATGCCATCTCCTCCCTGGGTTCCTGTTCTCCTTCTTCCCCGCTCACTGCTGGGTTCTCACTGAGAACAGCCCAGTCGGCACTGAGAAGTCAGGAAAGGCCTGAGGACCCACAGAGGGGCTTCTTACACTACACACACACACACACACGCACGCACACACGCACGCACACACACACACGCACACACGCACGCACACACGCACGCACACACACGCACACACGCACACCCCGATGATTGCGAATCACTCCCATCTTTAATTGCTCCCCTCGGAGGAGATGGCTGCCACCCCCAAGCCCCACCTGCCTCAGCCTCCCTCCCCGCCCACGTTCGCGGGTCCCTAAAGGTCCAGAGCCCTGTGCGGCACGATCTGCTGCTGCGGACCAGAGAAGGGAGCTGGGGCTGTGTCAGCACGGTCCCCGCGGAGAGCCCGGGACCG